TACTTTTTACACTCCAAAATATTTTCGTCACTCAACCTTGATATACATACACTTTAGTTATTGTTTTTGTTTGAAAACGGTGACGGAGAGAATTGATAAATGCTTTATATTTAGCACAGTCTCTTTACATAAAGTTTAATAATAAAACCGGTTTTATTATATCTGGTTTATCGAATGTGAAAAATAGGAACCGATTGCAACCGGTTTTAAGTCGATTGTACCCAACCGGTTCCAACCTCTAATTTGGTTTTATTAAAAAAAAAAGACGATAATAATAATAATGAAAAATTTTTATTTAAAAGATTTTGAACGAAATCTATAAATGGTGTCCCATCCTCAAAATCTATGTAAATGCTTCTTTTGTTTCCTTGATATCATTATCAATTAATAACTATTTTATTATTACTGTATTTTTTATTATTATACATCAAAAACCCTTATTTTTTTAATATAAACAAAAGGTTGATACTTACTATTTTTCCTATCGTATAATAAAAATAACTAGTTAAAAAAAGAAAAACAATTGACGTTGTACCGGTAGAATTTTGTTTGTTACTTTAAGCTTGTGACTATAATTATTTGCCATAATTAGAAAAAGTAATTATAAATTACTGCCAAGAAGAAACTCTTATCATTATTATTATATTAAAGTTGCCATTACGATCAACTAATTACGACATTACAGATACGGCATGTACAATGTCCTTATTTGTTTCATTATTATTATTGTTTTGTTATTTAAGTAAGCTTATAGTAAATTTCCCTTAGATGAAAAAAAAACTCTTGAACATAATAAAACATGCTTGTAAAAATTAAAAATTATATCCCTTTAAAATTAATTAAAATCGTAGTTTTTACAACAATATTTGATTTTTCAACAGCTCAAATACTTGAATATGACCCTAGAACGGTGGACACCTTTTACAAAAGAATAGATAGTACATTAGGAATCATTATGACAAATTTTATCCCAATTTTATTATTTTATACACTTTCTCCACCAGATGTTGATTCAATGTCCAACAAAATTGGCTTAATAGATGATATTCTTTACATAATCTTACCAATGAGCTATGAAGCATATCAAGGGATTTCAACTTACTTTTGTGAAGACATGGTCACCTTCTCATTATATTCACTCGTGATTCTCTTTATGTATTCTCTATTTACTCTGTTACTTTACATGCCCAAATTAAAAGATCTCTCATGGGTCAAAAGATTCAGGGAGGACATAATGGTTGATTGGGCTATTCCTTTATATTATGTAATTTTTTTCATTGACAACACTTTATACATTTTTGGCCTATTTCACTCAAAAAGACCTAACACAACCCAAGACGAATCGAAATTCATGTTTTTATACACATTCATACTCTTGTTTACTCCTATGTTATGGTACAGACTACAAATAAAGCTCTATTTCTTCAACAAAAGCATTGGGTTTTTTTATATATTTCTACTGGGGCTATTTATGTTTCTTATCAGAGCAGCAATAGTTGAGTCATCACATGACTTGGGTACAAATCTTATTACGAGTATAGTCATAGCACTTTTTATCAGGATGACTTTTTTAACATACAGCAACAAAAATAAAGATGCAGAAGGTTCTACGAACGTTTATGGACTACACAGACACTGGATTGAAAAGAAAAATCGGACACACAAATGTTTAAATCCAACACTCTCCTCTTCATACCTCCCAGAAAATGAAAGCGATTATATAGAGAAAGGTGGCGAAGAAACTAATAAAGAACTCAATGATAATACAACAACAGAAAAGAAGGAAAACCACAAATTACGAATTTTTGATTGGTGTTGTTTAGGTTTGATGATTGCATACATAGTATTGATACTTATTCATACTCTTTATGATTTTGGACTTAATGGTTATTACTTTGATGTACAATACTGGATCACACCAAGATGTACTTCTATTAGAGATAAAAAATAGCTGTTAAAACTTTTTCCTTCTTTTTAAAAAAAAAAAATTAAATTATTTATTTTTCATACTAAAATAAATATTTTATTTTCACACTAAAATAAATTTATTTATTTTTTTCACACTAAAATAAATTTATTTATTTTTTTCACACTAAAATAAATTTATTTATTTTTTTCACACTAAAATAAACATTTTATTTTTCACACTAAAATAAATTACTTATTGTTTTCACACTAAAATAAACATTTCATTTTTCACACTAAATAAATATTGTGTATAGTGTCGGATCGGCCCGATCCGGTCCCCCAGTCTGTTTTTTATGGGATCAAAAGACCGATCTTTCATATGGTCTTTAGCACGAATTTTTTTTAATCAAAATCTTCTTATTTATTACAAAAATTTAAAAAGAGTATAAATATACATGGGATGGTAATTGTTTTGCCAAAAACGTAACACGTACCGTAAAAGTCTCGAAAGATAACGCCTCCGAAAGATAGCATCCCTACTTTAAAACAATTGAAAATCATTTGTAATACAGTTGTAAACAGTTGTGCTATCGACTTTACGGTAATATACGTAATTACGAAATTAATTCATAATTACACGTGACGAATAATTTCACATATAATAATAAATAAATATATTCTTTGTTTCTCTTATAAAAACACTTTTGTAGTCGAAAATTAAATAATATGGTTTAATTTTTCATTTTGTTATCAGGACTCTGAGTTTGTTAACAACGGGTTTACAAAGTTCATTGGGCCGGAACAATTAATTTCATTCATAAATTTTTTAAATAGTATATGTTACACTATTTCCTTTTTAAGGACTGGACTTTTCGTCTCAAAATTTGGGACCGAGGACTGGAAAGACCGGTCCTTAATCAGTTTTTTTTAGGACCAATCCAACCCTAGTACAATAGGTGTCCCGGATAATTAATACGATTATTTGATTAGCTCATGTCTGTTTTTGACTGATTATTCGCATCTTTGTAAACATGACTTTGACCTAGCCAAAGAGCTCAAAGAACATTTGGTCAGTATGAACTTCTATATCTTAGAGATTGGAACAGAACCTGCAAACTTCATAGATAAGTCGGTAACAAAATTCCTGTTTGTATATGATTTGACTCGGACCAAAATTATGTTAATGTGGGAAATATTTGCAGGTCACCCACCATTTAATAGGACTCGCAATCATTGTTTGATTTTTGATATATGTGCAGAAGGTTTACGACCACCAATATTACCTGGAATGCCTAAAGATGCAGAGGTGTTGGAATGTGGATCCATCAAAAAGGCCAACTAGTAGAGAACTTTGGACATTAAAAATAAAAATAATGAAATTCTTGAAAATAAAGTTTAACAAATAAAAACTTAAAAAACGATAGTTTAATAAAAAGATTATTCAAATTTTCTAAAATCAAAAAATCATGGAATTGATTTTAATAATGGTGGTAATAGCAGTGGTGGTGGTGGTACAAATCACAAATAGAATATTATTAAATGAAGAAATTTCTAAATCTAAAAGCTATACAAGTAATGGTAATTTGTTAAATAATTTTGATTTCAATTCTTTTCTCTAGAATGTTAACAAAGGTGAATAAAATTTCAATTGGAAATTACTATCCCTCACTATCGAAAAAATTCGTTATTATTATTATTATTGAAATCCGTTATGACAAACATTTTTAATTAATAAAAAAAAGGGGCCGATATTTAAATCCATTGTAACAAGAAATCCACTGTGGCGAGGTCCATTGTGACAAGTTTTGACTGTAGATAGTTCATAGTCCATAGTCATTGGTAATTTTTCGTTTGGTCAAAAAAAAGCTACTACTATGATAATTTCTTACATTCCACCAATTTAAAAAGTTTTTTATTGTTTATAGTCAATAATATTGCGAACAAGTGACCCAATATCTTCCATCCTTACATTACTACGACCTAATTATGACATTACGGCTTATGACAATTTGAAAATGGATGTCTAAAATATATTTACAACATTACGACATTACATCATGTCAAAAGTCGTAATAGATTGGTCTGCATGTATACCTATTACTATCATAATCATTTAGTATCCGTGGAATGAATAAGAATAAAATTCAACAAGCATGTGTCAGTAACGAACGATTGAATTTGCCAGTTAAAATTTTTCACGTGACTAAATTAACTAATTAATAGACTTAATTTTAATATTAATGGTTAATTAAGTGTGGTTACAATTATTAAATGTTATTCTTAGGAATTAACAGCCACTTGGAAAGAAAATGCGGTGATCTGTCGGCTCAAACGGTCTAATTCAATTAGATACGGGGGGGGGTTTGTTTTTTTTTTAAAATTGCTTATTTATTTTACTATGTAATTTATTTGAAATAACCAATTGAAATAACATTACGATGACATCGAAAAAAAATATATATTAATGGTTAATTAACCTGTCAAAGAATTTTTACACGGTGCCAACCTCTAGTGGTGAACAGTCTGATATAAGTTGTATTAATTTATTACTAAATTCAAGTCATGAAGTCCATGAAATCCATTGCCATTTATCAATGAATTCAATTGATAAAAATTTATTAAAAAAATAGTAAATTTAAAGCTCCGAACGGTTCAGTTTTTTGGTTTTTTTCAGTTTACATTTGACCAAAAATTTCAGACATTCTAAATTCATTAATTACAGAAAAATATACATCACAAAAAAATTATAATAACTTTTGGCAAATGTGTGTTGCAAAGTAGAGATGCTGGAAGGATCCTATTTCTGTCTATAATTCTTATATATACCATAGTAGCAAAGGTCCATTTCTTACCAAAATTATAATGGAGACCATAATTGAATTTTATCCATTTCATATATAATGTCGTTAGATTAATACAGATGGTTAGTTATTATTTTTATGTAATCGCTGTACTCATCATAGATGCATCATAAAAATTTTAGATTTCTAATATTAATTTGAATTATTACTTGTTTTATTTGAATTGCTTGTTTTATTTGTTTTATTCATTTCATTCGAATTATCTAACTATTGCTAAACTTTCAATGTAATTCGAATTCATAACGAATAAAATAAATAATTTAAATAAATCTTATTTGAATGGAAATCCAATGATGTTCTATTTTTTTCAATTCGTATATAAAATTCACCGTCTCTGCCAACTTTTTAGACACACGCAAACTCTTATTGTTTCAGGTTCTAAACTACAATATCTTTGAGCAATTAAGTCTGTGCATTCAGAAAAAACTCGTTCAACCAGGACACCGATTCCTATAATAAGCTTATTATATTGGAAATTATTAAATTCAATTCTATATAAGCAGAGTGCAAAAATTAAAATATCAGGAACTGTCAAGCCTAAAACTCCAAATGGTTCGGAGCTTTAAATAAATCTCGATTGTAATTCCCCGTTAGAGCTTGGATCCGGATAGTAAAATCCTTAGGATATACGCGGATATACGCGGATATCCGGATAGAGATTTGATGAACGGATAGGATATCCGGATAGGGTTTTGATGAACGGATAGGATATCCGGATGAGAGATTTTGATAAACGGATATCCGGATATCTGTAAGGTGAGAAATGGATTTCTATTACTATATTAATATCCACATTAGTATTAGTATATATAATAATAATAATATTTGGTTGATATAATACTAATTAATATACATATTAACAAGCTCTTGTATACAATGCTTGTCAATTAAATTATTTTACATATATGTTAGCCATTCATGCTGAAAAACTTCTTCCTGGTTTTTAAAATGCACTTTTTTATTTAACATTTTAATATAGTTTACACTTAATTTACTATTTTTCTTTTTTTATTTGATTTTTTTGAAGTATCATCATCATCTGAACCTTGAATTGCTAAATCACCTGAACCTTCTATATCTGATTCATCAATATTTGTTTCATCTATAAATGCTTCATCCCAAACTTCAGTAGTCAAAATTATCTAATTTTTCTTGTTCTATACTATTTATTTTTTTGAATAAGGAAAACCAATATACATAATTCATAAAGTGTATATATTTTTAAATTTAATAATTTAATAGCAGTGAAATAAGATTTAAATTGATTCAATACTTTTCTTCTGAAAATTCAAAATATACAAATCATGGTTCTTTTCTAAAATATCGAAGTAATGACACACATATACTTTATGTATATATATTTAGTATAAAATTTTTTTATGCAGATGGAAAAATTTGTACAAAAAAAATAAAAAATAAAAGTAAAAAGGAAAAATATCCAGCAACTCTTTTTTTTTCCAGAAGTTAAAATTTTTTAATATTAAAGGAAAATCCAGGTTAATAAGTATTTTTAAAATATGGTTTTGTTAAATTGTAGACATATCCTTCAAGCTCAAAACATTTTTCAGGATTAAAAATTCTTGTCTGTATGATGAGTTATAACAGTTTTTATTGATTTTAAAAATTGGAAACTTAAAACGTTTATAACATTGGAAGCAACATAGCCACAAAAAAAATTGAAAGTGTTTTTAATCTTTAAGAACCTTATCTACAACGTAAAAATGCTATTTTTTTTTGTTTAAATATAATTATTATAGAAGCTTGCCTAAACTAAATTGTGATGATGCCGAAACTCAGGAAAAAAAGGTTATAGAAACTAATAGTTTGAATTTTATTATTATTGCAAAACATTTAATATTATTATTATGTAGAAGGTATTATAATTCTTTGGTTACATTGGTATCAACAAAGGGTAAGTTTGGTGAGGTGTTTGCTTTGGCAGATTTTGGTGTCATTGGAAAATGCATAGTTGAATACCATATTCTGGATCATTATCTTCTTAATCTAAGTCTATGATTTCCAAATCTGAAAATATTCATTAGCTATGTAAACACTCTTATTATTCCCACAAAGCAAACAATGAATAGATTACCCAAAGAATGCATTTGCTTAGCTTTATTGATAATATATTTAGGAAGATACTTCTCACGCCTTCATTCCAATTTTGTAATTTGTAGATGATTCTCTCCAAAAAATTTTTATAACATAAAAAATGATTTCTTTTCAGCAAGCTTGATTAGTTTAAGGACAGGATAATATCTTTATCTTTAAATAAAGAAAGGAAAAAGATTTTTAATTTTCATTATTTGAATGCACGCGTTTATAAATTTACGTGTAACAAAAAAATTTTCCCGTGATAAAATCTCTCTAATTGATGAAATTATTTTTTTTGAAATAATAATTCACTGATTAGTTTTGAAATGGATGACTACAATATTTGGACTAGTATGGACATAAATGAAGTTAATGTCTCCCATTTATTATGTGTTAAATATCCCAAAGATGAAAAATGGAAACAGATACTTGAAAAGCTCAAAGAAGAGAACTTGGAGTGTAGAGTTATTGAAAAAGGACGATTTGAAGGAGTTTGGTAAGTTTACTTTTTTTCTTGAAATTTCCATGAAATAATTCTTATTTTTATTTGTTATTATATTAATAGGGTTTCACTTGAAATAGGTAATATATCTTTGTTATACTTTTTATATTTAAACAATTATTAGTTACTTAAATTTATGATTGATTAGCCAGGAAAATTGCTTTAAGACATGGAATCTATGAAGATGTGAAATTTATGTTAGAACCAGAGAATACTTCACCTGATCAATCAACAAAACATTCAAGGATAGATGTAAATAATTTTAATAGTGACGAATAAACTACATTATTAATATTATTAGTATTAATAGTTATGTTTCTTTCTTTTGTGAAATAATATAGAATGCATGTGAAGTTGGTTATAAATCAAAAGTCGATTTAAGATCTGATGCAATAAGAGATTTATTAGAAAGTCAAGAATTATTATTTCAAGGTCCTGTTATCTGAGTAATTAAAATCATTATTTTTTAATTGTTAAAAGTAAATAACCAAAAAAATAGCAATGCATATAATTACATGTTATTATCAAGAAACAAATTTATTATAAATAACGTATATAAATTTTTTAATATTGAAAGTTTTATATGAAAATCCATGGATTTTTACCCCAAAATTTTGTGAAGTCAAGGTCCACTTAATCAAGACATGCTGCATACATATCTACAATCAAGGTTTGGCTTATTTGTTACTTACCTTCCAACCTGAATGGTTGGAAATTCTTGGATTCTTCTTCAGCATCCTTGGTGACATACAATCACATGAACTTGATTTCTCTCTTCATGTTTATAACATGTTAGAATTCTCTCACTACTACTTTGGTTTTCTAAACAGTATTTCTCTGTGATTAGCTTGGTGACAGTTTACCATTACTTCAAATATGTATTGATCACCATTGTGGATCACATACAGTAGTCTACCTGCATGATTAGGTGGACTATTTCTTCAGCCATGTTTGAGATTTAGAGCAATAATTACATTCTATCCACTCTTCCTGGAAGGTGGAATTCTTTGATCTAAATGAGCATCTAATCAGTTCCAATATTAAAGGGTACTTACTAATGAACTGGTTTCACTTTGTTAGATATCTAAGTTTGTGTTGGTTTCCAAAACTAGAGAGTTTTGCAACCATGTGAAAGTCAAAAGGTTTCACCATAAGTCAAAACTAGTTTTGATTTTTGACTATTTTTTGATTTAATTTTGACACAACTTTTAATTTTAGTTTTGACTTTTGTCTCCTCAAAATAGTTTTGGTGACCAACACTAATCTAAGTACATTTTTGAAATAAAAAGTTAGTTGCCAAATTAAATAAATAAAAATAAAAATTTAATATAGATAGTTAGAGAGGACCATGATCTTAGTTTTTTATCTTTTACTTTCTGCAATATGTTGATAAGAAAAAGATTGATTTTCATTTAATAAAAAATCCACAAACTACTTGAGAAGGAATATAAATTGTTGTTTCCATCATAAAACTTCTCTAATCCTATGAAAAAAATGATAGAAGAATTCATGGATGGGTTAATATAGAAAAGAGTAAAAAGATGAAGGATGGTGACGAAAATGATGATAATGATGATAAAGAAGATAAAGATATTGATAATACAATATTATTAATAATTATTACAATGAAAAATAAAAATAGTAAGGAGATTTCCACCAGTTTATATACATTAGTTGAATCAAAATAAAATAAAATTGTTTCTCCTTTACTTTCCTTGTATGTGATGTGCCTTTGCTTCTGTATATTGGATCATATGTTTATGATTATGCAATAATACATTTGATGTTGATATATGTGTTTTCTTAAATTTGTAAAGGAAATAAAACAAATAATTGGATTCATTACTCAAAGAAACAAATGATAATACTAAGAAACCAATTTCTTAGTGCCTAGAAAATAAAATTGCCCAATAGAATTGCAAGTTGTAAAGAATCACTTCCAAATATAAATAAATAACATTGAATCTAATATAATTAATGAATGATCTTAGGTGTTAGGTCCAATAGCAATATAATTTATGCTCTTGTCAATATAGGAGGGCTTCAAACAGGTTCTTTCAACAATTTCCAGCAACCTTCTTGAGATGTTCTTGAATAAAATAATGATGAAAGAACCCATATGTGTATTTTCAAATTTCCTAGACAACTTCCCCATAACTTGGAATGGTCATGTCCTTACAAGCTAAAAATACAAACATATAATTTGGCTTATTATAAAGGATTGTCACTGGCTAATAAATTTATGGGTTTGAAAATTTGGAGCAACTTGTTATATATTTATATCTTTAGGGAGGCAGAGAGATGCTGCAATTGGATGAGCCTAAATTTAACCAAATTTCATTGGAAATTACCTTAATTATTTCTAATCAACTTTTTTACCTTCAAATAATCTGACTGAAATTAGCCCTAAAAAATAATTTAACGTTTTTAGATATTTAGTTTTTTTTTGTAAACATAAATATATGGGAATCTCATTTGATTAATTGAAAATATTCCTATTTAATGAAATGCGAATGATCTTTGATAAATTTACATCATAATAATCTTAAAATGAAAAACATACTATGAATGTTTATAATGCGCATATAATGGACGCATATAATAAGCCATTGATTAGCATCGACAATCAAATGATCACGGATGAGGTTTTAATCTGGGGTCCTCGTACAAACTACGCACGAAGTCATTACTGTGGAAAACCAATTTATTTAATAAATTTTATTGTAACATAAAAGGAATTCATAAATATATGAATAAAATAAAAAGAGTGAATAAAGTAAAAGAACGAATAAAATAAAAAAGAATAAAGAAAATAAAAGAATGAATGGAAGAGAAGGAAAAAGGGAATAAGGAACGTATGAAATATTGTAATAAATAATAAATAAAAATTTGGTCAAATTAAATTCTTTTTTTATAAATATTAATTTATAATTTAATCTAACTTTAAATTAGCAAATGATAATTTTTTTTACATAAAAATAAATTATTATTTTTGAACATATGAAAAAAATGCCTGTGAAAGTGTAAAATAATCAAATAAAAATGAAAACTATTAAGCATTTTGAATATTTGAAATAGGAATGTAATATAAAATCGTTGTTGAGTAAAATATGGTAACAACCATCTATCATTGATTTAATACTTAGCTAATCCTCTTCCTCTGCATTTTTTAGCCAATCAACAAAAACCTTGCATTTCTTTTTCACATCACTAGTATCTTTTGCGCTTTCATACCATTTGTAAATTGAATCTTCATCAACATAATCTTTATCATAAAATGTTTTATATAACATTGGTGATTGTTTCACCCATTTCTTGTTACGTTGATTTAAAAATTTTTCCCAAGCTCGAATAAATATAATTTGATCTTGCGCAGAACAAATGAACTAAATTTTATTTGTTAATTATTTTAAGGAAATAACATTTAAAAAAAATACATTATAAAATAATTGTTCAATAAATACTTACTGTTTTAAATAATTTTTTTTTTAGATCCAAGTCTTTAATAATATCATCCCAAGTAGCGTCATCGTATAAGCTTGGAAGCAAAATATTGAATAATTGTAATTTGGATAAATCTTTTCTTGTTTCCATGAGGGTTACCTCTTTGATTTCTTCCAATATTGTTTTATTTTGTTCTTTTGATTGAACAAAGAATTTCTTCAATTCTGAAATCAAAACTTCTTCTTGTGATTTCTTGTCAACATTTGTAACATTATGGTCGGTTTTTTTACTAATTATTTCATCAAAAGAAATTAATTAACATGAACATATTATTATTATTATTAATTCATTTCATAAACATATAAGCATTACAAGTTGTTTGGTCGAATTACAAGTATTATAATTACATTTTTCCCAATTGTTCAATTTCCACATTAGTTAATTCAACCACTTCAATCCAGGGCTTTTCATCAACTAAATCATTTTTATTGGGTTTAAATAAATTTCCTACATGTGGTTTGTTAGTAGATGATGATGTTGATGTTGTAGTTGATGATGTTTGATTGCTGCTAGATTGTTGCACAATAGCCAATTCCCCTTTTTGATGTTCACTAAAATCTTCATTAGTATTGGTACTTGTGTTTGTAACAATAACTGATCCTACACCAGTTGATACAGTCTTGGTTTCGCTTGAAATATTGGTTTGACCATTATCTTTCTTTTTCTCGATATCACCACCCTCAACAGTGTACTCTTCTGAATCTTGTTGAACTTCTGTTTGAGAGCTGTCATATTTTTGGTTTAAAAAACTCCCCTTTAGACCATTATAATAAATTGGTTATAAAAAGAAATAAATATAAAAAAATATATACCTATTGTTATTGGTTAAATTATTTTGAGTAGAAGTAGATGTTAATGGTGATGATAAAGTATTAATTTTAGCAAAAATTCCATTTTGAATTTCAGATCGATATCCTCCTGATCCTGATCCCATATTTAATCCAGGACTAGAAGGACCGATTCTTTTAGTTGAATCATATCCATTCATCATATTGTTATGACGCGGTTGACGAAGTTGTGGATGCTGTTGTTGTGAGTGATCGTTAGGATGATGTTCATGAGGTTCATGAGATTCGGAATCGCGATTATTAGTGTTGTTATTATTATTATTACGGGGGTTAATGACATTATTATTGCCATGAACGGTCGTAGTGTTGTTAGTAGTGGTATTAGGTTTTTCTTTAAGTTCATGTTCACCATGAGCAAAATTACATTTAGGACCATATTGACAAAAATTCTCTTTCATGAATCTTTCACATAAACGAGTTTTGTACAAAGGATTTTCTGGTCCATCCTTTACTGTAGGCAAACTAGATTTTTCTTCAACGGGAACGACAAGCCTTTCTCTTAATTCGCCTGCACCATGGGCAAAAGTACATTTAGGTCCATACGGACAAAATTTTTCAGTTTCAAATCGTTCACATAAACGAGTTTTATAGAGAGGATTGTCTAATTGTGAAACTGGTGATTGAAGAGGCAAAGAGCCATTGTTATTATCATTATTAATATTGTTGCCACTGTTGTTATTATTACCAATTTTCTCTGAACGATTATTGTAGTGGTGATTACTAGCAGAATTATTATTTTGACCACCATTATTGTTGTTGCCACGATTTTCACGTACATGTTCGAACCTTTGTCTTGATATTGCATGACGTTGAGATTCTAAAGGTAAAGCCACATTTAGATTCTTCAAATTTGACTCTATCCTATCAGCAGTGTTATTTTTTTTATCATTTCTAATAGACCATTGTTGTAATGTAGAAGAATCATATTTTTTTGATGGTTTATTGGCCTCAATAAATGCGTGTGCTTTTTTGATAACATCCTGCATACTCTTATAAAGAACTTTTTCGGTAGCATTATAAAGTTGAAGCCATGCAAAGTTAAGCCCTTCGCCAGCATTACTGTAGACACGGTCATGATCAGTCACTTGAGCAAGATAATAAACAACTCTTTTAGGTCTGAAAACCACCAGGTTTTAAAAACCTATGATTAATCATTAATATGTCTTATATAATTTTTTAATCATATATATATAATTTTTTTTTTATTTGTTTAATATAATAAAAATGAAAAATGTAATATTCAATTTACCGCGTTTCAGAAAGATAGGTAATTTCAGCTCTAAAGCCTTCTTCGATTCTTATATCTTTAACCGAGAGACCAGTGATTTCGATTGTGTTGCGAAGAGCACATCTGATTGATCAATGCACCAAATAAAAATCCATCAAATAAGAAAGAAATCTTAAAAAAAATTTTTTTTTAATTTTGATTTTTTTTTTTTAAATTAATCAATTTTTTTTTTGTTACAAAAAAAAATATATATGTCCAATTTGTTGTGACATATATGTTATATTTTTATCAATTAAAAATAGATTCAATTATGAATCAATTGTGTTTGTTCTTTTGCTCATAAATGAATAAACTAAAAATTTCGATTTTCAACTAAAGAGAATTTCAAATATATTTTTGTATAAAGCTACCGTTAAGGAGAAAACTCACTTTACTTCGTCTTCTTGTCTAATAACTCTGCCCTTTGGTGCAGTCCAATGTCTTTTGTTAGAAAAGGTGTCGTTTAATAATAAAAATTCAATATGACGTTGTATGCGGTATAAAAGTATTCCTGTAACATGTAGAGGTTGAACCTTGTTCTCGTCCATAAGCAAGGGGCACAGATGCAAAAGATTCAAAGGCTTTGCTTGAAAGCAAATATAATTTATTTAGTTAAAAAAAAAAGGTTGATGTGTGTCTTTCCTTTAGATCCGATCACTAACTAGTGGTAATTGTTGCTAATCTTGAGAAAATTTTTTAATTTAAATATTTTGTTTATATTTAATAATTATAGGATTTTTTAAACTTTAAAAAAAAAATTTCAAAAAATTGTGTTGGTTGGTATAACAACAAGTCTTGCATTTGTCACGCAAAACGATTGGAGTGTATTTTCCGAAAATTTCTAATTGGAAGATAAACCGACGCCATTATATTCGGTGTCTAAATTGTTTTGCACATTTCATTAGTTAAAATTTGTCCAATAGTAATGAAAAAAAATCTAGTTTAAGAGTCAGAGTAAAGATTAATACGGCAAAGTTTTGTTTATATTTGCAACCATATAGTGGTAGGTAAATCAATATGCAACTATAATTCAAATTTTACAGAAAATTTTGAATTAACAAAAGTTATGATTGAAACCTGCCATGAATCAAATAGAAAAATTTCATTCAATGCACATGATAATTATATAGTTGATATTACTTCTAATTCAATCGTTTTGGAAAATGCACAAGAAGATACCGAGTTAAATTTAATGATCCAGATTCAACAATAACTAATCAGGTCAGGCTTGATGCAATGATTATTATTCAAAATGCTGTGCCACTTTATCCCAATATAGGTTTTGCGGTTCTTTAACCGAGTACATTAGTCTATCCAAATACAGGGAATCTTCATTTCACCCTGTATATACATTTGAAATCCTGTCACTAGTATTCTAATTTTTCTAAAACATAATCAATATAACCAAATCTTAATATTTTGCAATTAGATCTCAGGCATCTTCCATCATCTTTATTATTATCATCCGCTCCTATCAGTGTTGTACACGGGACATGTCCGCCTGGACACGAACACTGTACAAAAATGTCCGCGTAACAATTTGTCATACGAACGTATCCGCTCATTTACTTAAATGTCCATATGCCCGGGACTAGCAGCACAAGCCACAAGTTAATGCAACATATTATTAAAATCAATATTAAAATAAATCAAATCTTTTGTAGAGCATGTGTTAAAAAATTAGGTGAAGAAAAAATGGTTTCAAATAATTCAAGAAATATCCTAATTTAAATTGGGAACAAGTGTCACTTTTTAATTAGTTAATCAATCAATCAACCAGGTAATTAAGAACTAAACAATTCCATATTAATAATTCAGAGCCTTGCTTAGAGTAATTATAATTAATATAAATTATTTTTTTTACAAATAATTCGTTTTGTAGTAAATATTTTCATAATTTAATAAAACAAATTAATCAATAAAGAACTTTTGTGGTCTGAATTAAACATTAGGGTTTAATTTCTCGTTTGGTTACTTGCTTTGAAGGTTTTGTTTTGGATATTTTGCTTTAGTAAAGAAAACATTTTTGGTTTTTGTTAAGCCTAAACGTTTTTGTTTAATTTTTTGCAAACGGGTTTAATTGTCTAAGTGTAGATGTAAGTGTTTGTTAAGACTGATTGGCAAAAGTATTAAGTGTTAATATTAACAGTTATTACTGATTGACCATCTATACAAAAAGCTAACAGTTATTGACCAAAGTCGTTATCACATATTGATTATTTCGTTAAAGTAATTGTTGCGAACGTGCGGCTTCAATCGGCAAACGAAAGTAAAAATTATAATAAATAAAAAAGAAACTCTATAGGAGCCTTTGTTGCTTCGTAGAAGAGCCGTCTTTATTCATTATAATTTGTTCTTAATTGTACCATAAAGTGTGCTTAAAGATTCGCCAAAACTTTCTAGATACAAGAAAGAGGCAGCAGGATAAATTAATTGACGAACATTGAATATAAAAACTGCGATTAATGCTAAAAGGCTGTTTGAAACTCGACCAATAAATGAGTTTGACCAAAAAGCTATCCTCGCATTATTCACAAGCAAAATTTACATTTTTTGTCAGTGACATTTAAAGTGGCGAGCACGGACACGGACAGTCTACGTCCGTGTCTATACTTGCCGCCCATACTATGGAGTATGGGTCGGGCTTTGAGATCAGTAAAAATCCCATATTCCATATTAACCAATCATATTTTCGTCACACCATTAAATAATTTGATAAATGGGAAAGATCGACATAATACAAGAATAGCCAGAATCCTGAATCAGTTTTTACGTCCCATTTTAATTGTAAATCTTTAGGTGGAAACAAAGCCAAATTCACATTATGGATTAAGCATAAAAGAATGGGGTGTAAAGTGAGATACAACTAAATTGATTTACTACCTATTAAAATCTTTGAATCATTGTAATTTAGTAAATTATAATTTATCATCATTATAATTATTGTATATTTGCTTTAGTGTTATTAATTTTACTATTATTATATTAAGATAATATAACAGTTGATTTAAAATAATGTTTTTGTATCATATAATTAGATTTAAAATAAATTTAATTAAATCATCAATTATTTAAAGCACATTAATTGGGAGTATGAATATATTTTATTTATTTATTATAATTAAATTTATTAATATCAATATACTACTATACAACATTGCATTAATTAATTTTTCCTTTTCTAAAAAAAATAGATATATGGTAAACGGTGTGTACAATCAAGAAAGAATTGTTATGTGGCTGTTGTTAAATTATATTATTATTTGATATTAATAAATAAAAAAATTTGAAACAATTTCAAAACTTAAAAAGGTGCTTCTTTTTATTTCTCTTTGCTTTTTATGATATTTTTATAAATGACAATATTTTTATTAATAATTACAATACATTTTGTTAATTCTATTAATGAGACATGGGGATATGGGATTGGATTGGATGGGATTTTAAGGATTTGAGTATGAGCAGCAGTATATCCATGTCAGTATCTGCTGACAACACTGGTTTCCATAGATGGTGTCTCCAATTAAATATTAATATTTATTCTACCATTATATTGTGCTTTGGAATATATGTTTAATCAATCATATTATAAATATTAATATGGGACAACTCAATGTTACACGAGTCCGCCAAATGGAATTGTGATCTACATTGTATGGCATTAATATTAATTCATAGTAATAAGCCTAGTGATCACAATCATCATATTCATGAATATTCATTAAGGGGGTTACACTTATCAAAATCAAGTGATTGACACATAATTTTAAGGGATTTTTGGATTTTTGATAAGTGTAACCCCCTTAATGAATATTCATGAATATGATGATTGTGATCACTACTTATAATAAGCCTAATTCAACAAGTCCCAATACTTGTGAATTATTTATAAATCAATAAAATGATAATTAAATATTTTTTTAATTTAAAAGAAATTATTTTTAAAGATCCATACGATTTTTATGAACAATTATGGGAATCAAAGGTATGATTAGTGTATTTATTTATAGAAGCAGTTTTATGCAAAAGAATATATAAATCGTGCTAAAAATTATTATTAATAAAAGATGCACCAAATGTTATAACTTTAGCCAAATTTTCAAAATAAATTTACAAAATCTAAAAGATTTCTGAGCCATATATTTTCTACTGTAATTATTGATTTAATTTTTATTTTTATTGATATGGTTTTGCTGATAATTCTTGCTGAAAATTCCAGCACTTGCTTTGGAAAAAACCAAATTTGCATTTCCAATATTATCACATTTTAAATTCCCATCTTTATTAGCAATATAATTATAATATTTACATTGCTCATTAAAATTAATAAGTTATTAAACTTTTAATTATTTTTGTCTTGAACATTGTTCTTTGACATTATTTTTTTATGATCAATCAATAACCTAAAAGTAGATTCATGCCTTTTAATCAATTATTCTGGTATTTCAATCTTTGTTCATTCAATTTGCATTGGGCTTTTAAAAAAATACTTGTGATTGCAATTTTTTATTCTCATCTTCTAAAAAACTGATGATGATGATTGGCTTTCACTTTCTATATAAGTTTTCAATCTCCAACCTCTTCTGATATCTTTATATTATCTTTTTGTAGTTCATTTATTTTTTCATGCTCTTTTTTTTCTTGTCTTTTAAACTTCTTATCCAATAATTTGTATTTATTTTCCTGAATTGATGAAAGATCCTTTTGTGTAATGTATCCCTTCCTGTAAACTCTTCAAATGGAGTTTTTCATTTTTCAATTTCAACTGATATATTTCCAATTCTCTTTTCAATAGTATCTGGTTCTTTTGGATTGTCTTTTTTTCTTTTTCTGTAATTTCATTTGATGAATATAAATATTTTATAAGGTTTCTATGCTTAGTATTCTCATCATTTTGATTACTATTGGGAAAATTTTCCATCAAATTAACATCTTCCTATAAATAATTTATATAATATTTAATTACAGTCCAAACAACAACAGTATAATATAATAAAATACAGATATATTACTAGTGGTTTGGATTCCTGTGCCATTCCTTTCTTGAGTATTTTTATTGCTATGTTGGTGAATTTTTCCATCCAATCATCATTTTCCTACAAATAAGGATGCGGTCTCTCACGTGATCAAGCTTTAGTAAAGCCGAATTATTTGCAACTAAATTAACTAACAAGAGTAGCCCAAATGTTAAACCATTTAGCAAGAATCAGGAAACTATAAAAGTTTATCATTTCAAAACATTATTATAATTTAGCTTTGAGAAACAAAATAAGGATAAAATAAAAAGATAAAAGATGATAATAATAAATTTTATAATGGAAATTAAATTAGTCATTCATCACATCTTTTCTTTTACTATCATTACTAGAATTTAATGTTTATTAATTGATTGATTAATATTGTTAATAATAATTAATGGATAATGAAATTTTTATTCACCTTTGTTAGCATTCTAGAGAAAAGAGTTAAAATCAAGATTATTTAACGAACTATCATTACTTGTATAAAGTTTCAAGCTTTTAGATTTAGCAATTACTTCATCTATTATTCTACTTGTATGGTATGCATCTGTATGTGATTTGTGTACTTGTTGCGAATCATTACCACCAACACCACTGCTGCTGCTACCGTCATTATTAAAATCAATTTCATGTTTTTTTTTGATTTTAGAAATTATTCATAATAATAATACACAACTCGTATTAATTCGAATTATTCGCTTTATTTCGAATTATTCGTTTTATTTCGAATTATTCGTTTTATTTCGAATTATTCGTTTTATTTCGAATTATTCGTTTTATTTCGAATTATTCGCTTTATTATTATTTCGAATTATTCGCTTTATTTCGAATTATTCGAATTGTTATCATTCGTTTATTTGAATTGTTATCATTCGTTTATTATTCGAATTGTTATCGTTCGTTTATTATTCGAATAATTGTCGTTCGTTTTATTATTTGAATTGTTATCATTCGTTTATTATCAGCATTCATTTATCGTTTATTATTCAAATTGCTATCATTCGTTTATTCGAATTGCTATCATTCGTTTATTATTCGAATTGCTATGATTCATTTATTATCGAATTATTATCTTCTTTTATTCGAATTATTCGTTTTTATTTCGAATTATTTGTTTTATTTCAAATTGTTCGTTTATTCGTTTTATTCAAACTGTTCGTTTATTTGAATTACTCGGTTTATTTGAATTACTCATTTTATACGAACTATTCATTTAGAAATATTCGAACTATTTGAATTATTCGAACTATCCATTTATTCAATTTATTCGTTTATTCGTTTTATTCGAATCATACATTTAATAGTTTTATTCGAATTGTTTATTCGTTTTATTTGAATATCGAGTTATTCATTATTCATTTTATTAGAATAGACTTTTAATTCGAATACTCAAATTCATAATAATAATAAACTTATCAAATAGAACCCTAATCAAGCAATATAGTTTTATATAGTGATTTTAATTTGATTTTCCAGATTTGATGACTCTAATAACTCAGATTGCATGCTTGCAATATTTATAGGCCGTAAATAATTACGGATTATGATTTTTATGGTCTCTTTAGAATGCCATGTCGGATTTATTTATGTAATGCTAATTCAGATACACAAGTTATTTAAAAAAAAATTTTTAAATATATAATACTTTGTGTTGTGTGGTACATATTTGTGGCTTTTAGAAAAATTTTTTTTTTTGACAAAAACCACGATGGAAAACACTTTGGATGAAAATAAATATCATGACGATACTTCTACTGACAAAAATGATGAATATTCTGATGAAAGGAAAAAATATTTTGGGAAATGTCCAATCTGCAATAGATATAGTACTAATAGTTCATGGTGTCGATCATGTGATCCAAAGCTATTAACTGAAGGATGGACTAGTGGCAATGAAACATTAGATGAGTTGATTAAAAGTACACAGCTTAAAGCAACTGAGTATGGTAGTTATTATTATCTTCAATGGATTCTTTATAATGATTTAACAAATATTAAAAAGATAGGTGAAGGTGGGTTTGCAACTATATACAAAGCTACTTGGTTAAATGGCATGAAATATTCAGATTTTAAAAATAATAAAATATTTATTAGTAATAGGACTGTGGCACTAAAAAAACTAAATGATTCACAGAATATTTCTGATGAATTTCTTAATGAGGTAAATTATTTTATTAATGGTTCCAGATTTTTTTGATTATTATTATTATAATTAAACATTTTATTTGTTACTCTAGTTCAAAAATTATATGAAGTTTCATAATGAAGAAGGTATAATTCATATTTATGGATTAACACAAGACCCAATTACAAAAGAATATATATTTGTAATGAGATATATTGAAGATGGAAATCTTCAAAATTATCTAGCAAAAGATTTTAAAAATTTAAAATGGAACAACAAAATTAATATTCTTTATGAAATTATTAAAGGTTTAAAAGATATTCATGAAAAAGAAATTATTCATCGTGATCTTCATAGTGGTAATATTCTTCAACATAAAAAAATATATTCATATATTACAGATTTAGGATTCTCATGCCCAGCTAGTCAAACATCTGCATCAAACAAAAATGATATATTTGGAGTATTGCCATATGTTGCACCAGAAGTTTTAAAGGGAAAGCCATATATAAAAGCATCAGATATATATAGTTTTGGAGTTCTGATGTCTTTAATATCAACTGGCCAACAACCATTCAATAATTTGGCGCATGATGAATATCTTGCAATAAAAATATGTGAAGGCATAAGACCTGGTTTTTCAAACAACACACCAAAGTTCTATATTGAACTAGCATTAAAATGTATGGATGCTAATCCAGATAAACGCCCATCTGCTGAAGAAATTTGTTGGATTATTGATTTTTGGAGTAAATCATTTAATTCATTTAATTATGATAAATATCCAAAAAAACAACAGGATAAATTAGAATTGATTGGAAATGAATTTGATAAAATGGATGAAATAAAATTTGACCCTTCAACAATTACTCCAACAATTCATCAAAATGCAATTTATACTAGCAGATTATTAAAATTCACAAGCCTTCCCCAACCTGTGAATTCCAATAAAGTGACAATTATTGGTAACAATAATGGTAATTATTAACATTAAATCATTGATTATTTTCATTTTTATTAATTTTTAAAGTTTATAATATTTATTAATATCTGCTCTTGTGATAAATCTTTTTTTAGATTCTCATCAGATTGAATTAATTATACCAGATGAATTATCCAATTAATAAAAATATAAAATCTTGTAATTGTTTATTTATTTTGAACTTGTATATTTTCCAATGCTGATATTTGTTTATTTAATGAATTAGTAACTGGTGTACTTTTTGATATATTTTACAACCAATTATGATTGCACACATAAAGTTAATAAAATTATATGACGATTGCTGCGTTACACACCGATTGTAAAAATCACGCGACCAACTTGAACAATTTGTTTTTAAAAAAAAATTTTTTTCACAAGTACATTAACAGGGCTGAGAAAACTCTATTGAAATGTCACCGCCAACACTATGATTCGAAAGTATTTCCAAAAAAGAGGTATTCGTGATATTCATGACATTCGAATATCAGTCACATGAATGATATTCGGATAATGTCCGAACAATTCCGAATGAATACAAACACTAGTTGGGTCCCTTCTATTGTCCATGAACAATATTATCTATTATAATATTCATTCATGATACAAGTTAATTCGTAAATGAACAAAGCATATATGATTCAAATGCAAGTATTTTTTTTTACTTTTTTATTTTGCCTTTTAAATCAACAATTCATTTCTTATTATTATGTTTATCAAGCACGCACGAATAATTAAATGCCCATCTTGAAAATAACCTGGCATCCGTCTAGGCTCTATTTATTTTTGGGTTTAACATTGCATAGCTGAAATTGACTTCTTTAAAAAATAATTTCGGAAAACAATTTCAGATCTTTATATTAATCAAAAGGTTCGGATAATTTCCACATTTCAGATTCGGCAACTGATCATTCATTAACATTAATATTAAAGAAGCAATTTCGACTAACAACTAATGTACCATGGGAAAGTTATTGTCAAGTAAATTATACTCAATGAGTCATTGTTTTATTAGCATAAAAAAAGGTATCTATAGATCAAAGACTAGGTAAATATGCTATTATACTTTGTTAAATATTTTTACTCATAATCGATAATTGATATCATATTGCGGACAAATAAAAAAGATAACTAATGATGTGCTGTTTTTTTCTTCGATGTCGGGTGACAGTCAGGAATGTCAATATCTATATTTTCTTTTACTTTTTTTTTATTTTTCCAGCGTTGCATATTATCATCACTTTTTTAATTATTTATAATTTTCATTGTTTCAATGATTTCAAGCTAAGGAAGAATAATAAAAATTAGTATCTTTGAAATGAGGAAAAGAAATCTAAGATAATAAGGTTGAATCCTACCTTAGCATATATTACAGATATAAGAACATCTAATGTTCTGGGAAAATTTTTTATATCAGCGTAAACTTCATATGGCTTTTCTATCATATATCTGCATACGTATCCACCTGGACAATCAAGATTAGTTTTTATCATTACAGCGCCTGTAAAAATATTGAACGTTAGACGAGTCTAAATGAGTCTTGTCGTATTAGTATAATGTATAATCACCATACAAACCTGAATGGATAAACCCTGGAACATTTATTTTACGAACTTTATCCTCACAATAATTCACTCGTCGAGAAAGCTCAATAAAGATGTCTTTTAAAGTTTTGGGTAAAGTAAGACCTCCTTCTTTTAATAGTTTTGTACCGGACTCTCCTCTCCACTCACGACCTGCTTCTGAAGCAGCCCAATCCAGTTGCCTTGATCCTAATGTACGAACATACCCATCACCCTTTCTTCCTATTGCTTTACGTTGCATCCTTTCGAAATTGTCTAATGTTCTTAACCTATTCTTCCTTTCGCTGGTGGCCAAACATGCTTTTTCGCCACTATATCATTAAGAAAAAAAAAAAGGAAAAAATATTAACATTAAACGAAAAACAGTTATAAACTGTCACATTTTATTTACCCTATTAAAAAGACATATGGCAAGTCTGAAAAAGCTATGTCAATGGTCCGCCATACATGTATACGATACCAGCTTTCTGGCATTTCCATACATAATGGATTTGGGGTCATCTCATATAAACGAACCCTGGTCAATTAAAATATATAAGTTATATTATTGAGAATAAAATTATGACCAAAGGGAATTTGCCATCTACTTACCAATCTGCTATGGTTGTTCTAACATGTTCATATTGAAAATCAGTTGCTATATTAAAATCTTTACCAAGTTTCGGGTGTTGTGCATTTAATACTTCACGTATCTCATTCGTTGATTCCTTTACAAAGAATTGATTTAGTTATTAAGTACAAAAGATTACAAAAGAAATAGGTTACGATATATCTTTTATATCTACCTTTGCAAAATTATTAATGTAAGCTAGGAGATTTTCATCTATATCAGGCGTATAATTACCATACTCTTTGTTTGTAATTTCACTAATTTCCTTTGAATTAAATCCTGTTTGGACAAAATTGTCCTTTGGATTTATGATAAATGAATGTACAAGACTGAAACACAATAAAAATTTAGCTGATTAGAAGCTTTAGCAACTAAATGATTTATTACAAAATGTAAAATACAGCATGTACTTGTGATACTTGCATTTCATTCCCAAATCATATAAAATATCTTCAACATATTTCCCTGTACTAAGCTTCCATTTACTATCATTTGTCATGGCTTTAAATCTATATTCAGACAACAGTTAGATAAACTTCACAAAGATTGAGGTTTATGCATGACCAAAAGATTCTTACTGTCGTGTGAATAATTCTTTGTCTTTGAATGTGAATTCATTATCTCCGTCAAAGCCATTTCTTTGTTCATCTTCCTCCTAATGAATCAGACAATATTTCACTCATCAATGATGTACTTGAAAGAGATGGCTATACACACATCAAAAAGGTTCATACAAGTTATTTAAAAAACATTTTTTGTATTTTTATACTAAACATCAATGTAAATGTAATTACCTCAATACTAGGAAACATTGGTGGGTAAAATTGATTTTCGGGAGTTTTTTGCACACTAGTAGCTTCGACCTATACATACCAAAAAAAAAAAAAAGGTTATCTTCATTTATATAATAAATTTAGGAGGTGCCTTTAATCTTGAGCTCACCTGAGCCATAACTTCATCTCGATAATGTCCTGTGTGATGATTATCATTTACATTGGTCGTAGCATTCCCAGTCGCAAGGATTTGTTGTTTTACCTAATTGAAGAAAATTTTATTCAGTGTTTTGATTTGTAAAAATTTTCAGACCTGAAGCTTACTTTCTGATATCCAATCTTAAACTGTGGACTATCATTCCTCTCTTTCATCGAAGCGGTCCAAATCTTAATAAAACAAAAATGTAGGTTTATTAGTATCCATAAGAAACATTGTACGAGTCACTTCCATTATAATGGCATTCATATAACGGGATAAATGGTAGCCACTATAACAGGTGAAAATTTATATTCATGGAATTCGGTTTTTAAAAAATGCAATTATAACAGGCTATCACTATAAGGAGAGTGGCTTTTATAAAACAAAGTGTCGAACTAGCAGTTCATCACTGTAGACTAACAGTCACAGCTTGCACTTTAATGTCGAACTAGCAGTTCATCACTGTAGACTAACAGTCACAGCTTGCACTTAAGGAAGAACTAACAGTTCATCACTGTAGACTAACAGTCACAGCTTTCCTAAACCACTCAAAACTCTTTATTATACCTTCCAGCTATCAATAATTTTTTGAGCTTTTCTTTTATGCTTTATGTCAAAAGTTGAAACTGAAGAGGCTACAATTTGAAGATCCTTTTTTATTTTGTCAAGTACACTTGTCCAATCCTTTTGCATTGAGTTTGCACGATAATATTCTACAACCTTTGCACACGTCCAGTCTTCGATTTCGTAAAGTTTGTAAAAATCCATAAGAATGCATGTTGAGATGTATCACAAGTAAGGTTTCTGGTCGAAACTGCTTCTATTAGTAGCCGAAATTGCCCAAATACTTTGGGCAAAAATTTTTTTTTTATAAGCCCAAACTACTTTTTGTTAATAGCCGAAATTGGGCGAAATTATTTTAAAGTTGTTTAAGTTAAAACAAGTTGATTCATATAGTTTTTTAATGTTCATGCTTATAGAAAATGTTGAGAAGCCCAAATTGCCCAAACTAGTTTGGGCTTTGAGAAAACAGTTTGGACCAGAAACCTTAATCACAAGTTAAACTATTAAAAAAAACAACACGTAATAGTATTAGTAACATTTTTTATGAAGATTTTTACTAATTTTGGTTCTTTGTGAGAGGTGACATTCATTTCATCGACAACACGTGACATTACCACATATTATTAGTATAGTGCCAATCATCTAAAATGTAAACAATCTTTAAATGCTGATACTTTTCTAAATATAAATTATTCCATCAAAAACTCTCTATTTTTGCAATCTTCTAGACCCAAACAATAATATAATAGAAAGTTTTTTTTGATTTGATTAGAAAAAAGAAGTTATGAGGGATTAAAATTGTGCAACTTTACTATGGTGCAGATCATCTATAATCATTAATTTTTTATAGTAACTTCAAAATACTATAGTGCAAGACACCTAGTCCCACAACTTTTTATTGGTCTTGTATATCCTTTAGTATACCAGAAATGGCAGTGTAACACCAAAAAAACAAAAGATGATTTTGAAGCTAAGACCTTTCTCTACAAAGCTACGATTTCATTTTGTTGATATGTCACATCACCATGGAGATATGAGGCCTCAAAGTTGCACAAGTTTACTATGTTAAACCCAAAACTGTCATGTTACACACAATTTATATCTATATAATAATAAAAATGAACAAATTGAAACAAAATAAAAGTTTTTGAATTTTTGGTTGATGATCATATCCATATTAGGTAACTCAATGTTTATTCTTATTGCCGATTTTACTATTTATGGAATGACCAGGAAATATCACATGACAAAACAATTTTTTATTGCATTTTTGATTGGAAATTTTTTCCCAAAAATTGTCGTTGTGGCGCAGTAAGTTGTGTAATTAGGTGTCTTGCACCATAAAACAAAAAAAAATTATATCATTTTAAAAAATTTAACCGATAAGTTTTATTGTTTATGACTCAAGCTTCAAAACTTATCAGCTAACTTTTCCTTAAACTAAAAATTGGCAGAGCCTTAGTGTTTTGAAAATTCCAAATTTTATTATACACTTAAAAAATTGAGACTAAGTAAAATTGTGTAACAAAAATTTTTTTTTCGTAGAATATTTGTTACAACATAAATTGATTTATTTGTGGTATTTATTAATAAATAAAAGGTTGTTTTATTAAAAAAGTTTAACAAACATATTACATTAAACGAAAATCATTGCCATATTTAGTAATTATAAATAAAGATTCCTACATAGTACTTCAAAATGTATAATCTTTTACTTGAAAGTATTCCGTCAACATATATATGATATTTTGTACATAAATATCTATTAAAGAAATGAAAATAATGGTCAGTCAAAAGCTATACCTTCAGTTGTAAATGACATCATGAAAGTTTTACATAATAAATAAAAATTACCAATTTGTTTTTAGAAATAACATTGAATTTGTACATATGTAAGTAGTCAAATGTAATTTTTTTTAGCAAATAATAATTATTTAATAAATAAGATTTTTACTGATAAACTTTGAAGTTTTTTTGTTTTTAAATTAGAATACTGATTGCAAATTATCAAGAGGGAGTTCTTTTTTCATCAATAAAAGATTCATCTTTTGCATGCTTATTTTTAATCCAACTAGAGTAGTGATTTTGTATTGACTATTACATTATGGATAGATTTATCAAAAAAGAAAAAGAAATTATTGAGTGGTGGCATTGTGAAAATATTTCAGATTATAATAATAGAAAGAATCTTAATTAATAATACAGATGGTGCTAAGTTTCAAGTGTCTGAGTATCATTTATTTTGAAAATGTAAGGTGCAATTTTTTCACCTTGTTCTTTCTTCAAAATGCTTCTGATTGTACTATAATTCTTGGGTTCCATAGTAGATCTGATGTAAATTAACTTCATATTAATTATATTTATATAGGGATAATTCTCTATATCACTTAAGATAACAAATGGGATATTATAAAACTGTTAATAATTATAATCACATTATGAAATGACTAAATTTTGATCCCTGAAATCCTTTGGTAATCCCAATGTTCACTTTGTCCGGTTTTGTTGCAGTATGCCCCATTTCATTTTTGTCTGCACTTTCATCTTCATCAATTATTTCACTAACACCAATATTGTTATCAATTATTCTATCTAGGTCATTTCTATATAAAAAAATTACTTGAAAGGTTTTATGTCATCTAATATAAACAAAAATCTAAGGATATTATGGTCTTTCACATAACCATCAATTAATGGATCTGGTTCCAATGCCACAAAATATCTTTATACCATGAGTAAAGATGAAAACTGCAATTAGCCACAATTCAATTTTCATATGTTGCAATTAATTGAGGAGCTATCTTTAAGTCATGGGTATAAAGTATTTGGATGCTGCAAATATTCAATAGTATTAATATTCAAAAGTGCTACAAATACTCATGGTGTAAAGGCTACAAATAGGAACACTACTGGGTTTACAATAAAGTTGGCACCTGTAATGTAAAGTTATGTGTTGCAACTAACCACAATGTCATAATGTTACATTCAAATAAAAAGCAAGGTCACAATCCTTACTTCACCCATGAGTATGTTTATGCATTTTAAAACCATTTTTCATATTTTTCTTATAATAATTAAAGATGAATTTTGCTACTGATAACAAAAACAAACTTGGTCCAAAATATAATGATATCTGGGAATATTTTACACTTGGTAACCAACCATCTTGGTGATGGATATTACCAAGCTATGCATGAGCTATGTTTGTCATTTTTTTTAAAGATTCCTGATCACATCAATGTTTTATAATAATAATGTTTTTAAAAGTGAAACAATATAAATAGAAAATTGGTCTAACTGCATCGTGATTATGTTGCAATGCAATGTATAGTTTTTATGTAATATGTATATGTTGCAACATTTGATATTTGATTATGAAGGGTAAGCTTAGCTTACAAAGACAATTATCCTATAATTTTTATTGTAAAAATTGACTAGAGCACCAATTTAGTATTAAAAATTCATGGAAAAATTACATGCAGTAAATGTAATGAATTATAAAGGAATAAACAACAATCTATTTTGAGTGTTTGGTTGTAGAAGAGTAGTTAATTTAATGACACCCTTTGTGCTTAAATCTATAATTCTTTTAGCCATTATAGCTGGTGTAGTATTACCATTCTTACTAATACTCAAAGCAACTGCACCTGCAACTTGTGGAGCTGCCTGACTTGTACCTGAAAACACAGCCTTGCCAGTATTTGTTTTAGCATCTGCTGAAATAATATTTACTCCTGGTGCAAAAATATCCACACATTTGCCAAAATTAGAAAAGCTGGCCACTTTATCAAAAGTAACGACACCAAGAACTTTAACAAGATCAGTTGCTCCAACTGTGATTGCTGATGGAACAGATGATGGTGATTGTGAACATGCATCTGTATTACTATTACCAGCTGCTACTACCACATGTATACCAGCCTTAGTAAGAGCTTCTACAGCAGCATTTATTGCTTGTGACAGTGGTCCACCAAGTGACATATTAACCACTGTTTTCTTATTAGAACTGGATTTGTGTTGATTCAATACAAATGTTAATCCGCTCAAAACACCTGCCGTAGTTCCACTACCCGAGCTATTTAACACTTTGACTGCTATCAGGTTACTTTTTCTTGCTACACCAAATGTTTTTCCACCAACTAAGGCAGCTACATGTGTTCCATGTCCATGGTCATCTATAGCAGGACAATTTGGACAAAATGAGCCACCATGTCGAGCTCGTCCTATAATTTCTTGATGGTTAACATTTATCCCGGTATCAACTATGTAAACATTTACACCTGAACCTTGTGAGGCTGGAAACCTGAATTTTTTGTCTAATGGAAGTTTTTGTTGATCTATACGATCCAAATTTATATTTGGATTGTTTTGTACTAATAAATTTGGTAAAAGTGATGCTTTGACTGGTAACACTGGTTCTATTATTTCAATTTCTGATGATTTTACTAATTGATCTTTAACAAATTCAGGATCATATGGCGCAGAGTATCCAACAAGTTGTTCAGATAAAAATGAAGTGAATTTATTATCATTGCTCTCGGGTGAAATCTGATCAACATCTTCTGGCAATGATGATGGAATATCATTTCCCCAACATTTTTTCATATATTTTAAGTGTCTATTTAAAACTCTTTTTCCATTATCTGAATTACGACGTTGTAGCGGAGTATCATTGTTAGATTTAAGTATAATTAAAAATTGTTTGGGTTTTCCTTTATATTTTTTGGTGGATTGAATGGATTGTGGACATTTAATTTCATCTTCTTGATTTGGTGATTTCAATGGCAATGATTCTGTTTCTTTTATTACCAAACAAAAAAGAAACGTTGCTAATGTTATAATTGAAAGTAGTAATTTATGATAAATCATTTTTATAATGTCAACAAATTAATGGGATGAACAGGTTTTATGGAATGGTGATAAAAAATAAAATTAACGAGTTTAATGAGTGAATGTGTGAAGAAAAGAAAGTGTGAGAGGAAGAATAATAGAAAGTGTGAGAAAGGAAGAAGGAGTTAATGATGAATAAAGGTAAGAGGTAGGTAATGTGAAAGAATGGATGGATGGGGGTTAATCAACAAATTCCTATGAAATTAAAATTAAAAAATTTAATTAGTTCGTACATTTATATTTATATTTATATTTTTTTGTGTGAATAAAAATTTATTTAGTACCCGGGCATGATTATTTGTTGTTGTTTAAAATATTAATTGGTGATCCGTGAATGAGAGAGATGTCGATCGTTTTAATATAAAATTTTGTCGCCTATCATTATTAACATTGATATTAATAAGATTGAATTTTTCTCAAATCTCAGTGTCCACGTTTATTGATCCTCATGTACACACAAAAATTTAAAAGGCATCTTTTAGCAACTGGCGAAATCGATAACAGTCTTCATTATGGTCCTTTTGCCATTCATTGGTGGTATTTTTTTAAGTCCAATAATCAAAAAACAACATTTCCAATAAGACATCATATGAAAATCAAATATAAAATCGACCAACAAGAATTTATAGTTAGAGTAGTTAAAGGTACAAGTGATGATGAATGGGTGCCTGGGTATGTATGTGAATCAGATATAGAAGGAAGAATTTACTCAATTCCAACTGCAGTAGTTAATGAATCTTATAAGAAATATTCTGATACAAAAACACACTTTTCTGGACCAGATGTTTTAGGTTTTGGAGATGAAGCAATGATTAAACAATTGCAGGTAGGGGTGCCTTTTTTTCCTTTTAAAATTATTACTAATGATATTCAAGTTTTAGTAACATCAATAGGTAGTCCATACCAGGAGGAATTAAACTTTGTAGGTCCTGGTTATCTATCCACCTTTTTTTGCAAATATTCTGGAAAACAATCTTTGATATGTCAATCAATAATTGATACACAATGTCAAATTGATGTATATTTTCAAGGGAAATTAGTTTGTACACATATGGGAAGCACACCAACTGATGTTTGGAATAAGTTGATGTTCCTAAGAAAATATGATGGAAAAGAATTATTTGGACTTACTAATTCATTTACAATACAAAAAATTAAAAATTAAATTAATGCTCATTCTCTGAATGGGATTATATCAACAATATGATGCCTGCATTTGAGAAAAATATCTGTTTTGGATTTAAATTGGCATCAATTTTTTATTGGATGGAAAGAACAGTCAACAACTGTTATTGAATTAAATTCACACCTCATCTCTATATATCCACCAAATTTTGAAATTACTGATACTATATTGAGTGCATGGAGAAGAATGTTGAAAAGCATTGGATGTACTAATGTAACACCCTATAAAAAAATCATATCAAATGTAAGAATTTTAATTATATCAAATAAATTTTTTGTTATCATATATAATTGATAACTATTAACTTTCTATTAACAATCAAAACCATAACTTGAATTCTGGACATATGTAGAGGATGCACCAAATGATTGTGCTTTGATGCTTTGTTTATATAAAAATAACCTTCTAAGTGGTGTTACATACAACAAACCAATTGTGGAATTATCTGAAAAGAACCACAAACTCCAAAATAAAGTTGATAAATTTTGGAATTGTTTTAATATTTCAATTCAAATGAACAATCATGGATTGGATAATAAACAAAGAATATTATCAGTAATTGCTGACCATTTTACATATCATGAATTACAAGATAATTTGAAGGTAATTTTTATTTAAAAATTCATTTTACACAATGATCAAATTTTCATGAAAATTTTTTCTACATAGATTTCAAATAATTTAATAAATGCAGCAAAAATGTATTCATGAATTAATGGACCTGGATGTATTGCTGCAAGAAAACCTACAATTACTCAAAATAGAATTTCTGAAATAAAAAATTAGGAATTTGAAAATTTTTTCTCAGATAAAGACAATGTCACTATGAGCTCATATAAATTGATTCCAAGACAAACCTTCCAATCCTTTATTTGAATGATGACAGGAAGGACTATGGAAAAAATTTGATGCTACTTATCCTGGTGGAATAAAACATACATCATTTATGGCACACTTAACAAATGGTCCATATGTTTACAGAAATGATCTTGGGGATTTATGTAGATTTGCAATGAATATTTCTACAAAGTATTCAATACACTTACTAGCATATTTCAATTAAGTGCTGTGGATAATGAAGAAAAGGTAATTTATATCTTCATTTACTAAAATTATAAATATTATAAATAATAAAAAATAATAAATTTAAACATTCTGTTTTAGAATAAATTAATTACAGATATAGAAAAACTGAAAATTCATCTGAGAAGAGGTTTTGAAGAAGAGCTTTCTATGAATGCTGATGGTACAACAACACATGTTGATACAATAAATCATTGCTTGCTTTATGCATTTGGTGAATGCAATGAGGAGCACAATGAACATTGTATTACATGTGATAAATTATTTATAGTTATACAAAATTTTATCAACAAGTTTAAAGAACAAAAATCAACAATTGGAGAATGTTGTGACAAATTGTACTATTTTTTGGCTCATCAAGCAAAAAAGGTATATTTAAATAGTCAATTTAAATTTAGGTTAGCAGATTTGAATAATAATGGGGCAATTGTAATTTGTGATTATAAAATGCACATTTTACCAAAAAGTCAAGGGAAACCAAAGAACAATTTTTTGGGAAACGTGGTTGGACATTACACACAATTTTGGTTTTCACAAAATCTGATACTAACCAGATCAATGTTCAAACATTTGACCATTGGAGTACTGATACCAAGCAAGATGCTTGGTTTACAAGTTCTTCTTTTGATGCTGTTTTTGAAACTTTAGATCCATGTCCACAATGGATTGAATTATTTCCAGACAATGGTGCTCATTACCACAACTCAGAATTAACGATTATAGTTTCCAACTGGCACCAATGGTATAATATTGAAGTTCGTGGTTGGTATTTTTTTGAACCTGGGGAGGCAAAATCAACTGTTGATTCCCATCATGCACAGGTAAAAATTCTATTACATACAAAATGTTTGTATATTTATTAATCAGGAAATTTTCCTGTATAGATCTCTTATGTTATTAAGAGATATATATATGTTGGAAATAATTTGGATGAAGGAGAAAAAATAGGAACAGCAATATCTCATTTAAATAGAACTTTTGTTGCACACATAGAATCAGCATGTGAGGACCATAAGATAAAAACCATTGATGGTATTACTAATTTATTTTACTTTGAATGGCCAGTAACAGGTGATTATTCTGGATATATACAAGCTCAATGTATGCCACATATTGGAAAATGTTTACGATTTTCACCATCAGAGATATTAAAAAATACAACCACTATAAACAAGCCAACACCTTTGGTTTCTTCTCATTCAGTTCTTGACAATCCATGGAATGTTTCATTGTCTCATTCTCAAGGTAAAAATAAATAGATATATGTATATAATGAAAATATGAATTACATTATATTTATATTATTAATTTGCAATTTATATACATATAGCCAGACAAATAAAAGAGGATGAATCAAATGAATCAAATAATAATACTCAGTCATTAGGTATATGCAAAAAAATTATATTGCTATTATTGCTATTGATTATTTAAATTTCTGTTTTTATGATTTTTAATATATATATTGAAGAATCATTTGAATTAAAAACAGGATGGGCATCAAAAAGCAAACAAAAATATGGAATAAGAGGAAGAGGAAAGTGTATGAAAAAGAAAGTGAAACTTTACCTTGAAGGATATTTCTTAGCAGGTAACATTAATAAAACTGACCAAATGACAGCAAAGGAAATGATAAGCCAACTTCAAATTTTAGCTGATGAAGGTGAAATTCAAGTTGAGGATATCCGTGCCAACTGCAAATTGGATTACACAGTATGCAGCAAATATGAAAAAACTATCAGTACAAACAATAATCATGAACAAAGACAGTGAAGTGGTAAGTGATAACAATAAATTTGATGTACATGAAAAAGGTAAAAAAACTATTTTTGATAACTCTAATAGTGATTATGAACATTTGACAAAATGTCAAAAAAAAATAAATAAATAAAATTTCATACTTTGTACTGGAGTTGCCTTTCTAAATTCCTGAGAAGGTTCAAAAGGCAACTCTATTTTGTGCTATTTACAATGCGCCAATTTTTATAATAAAAATAATTTTTTTTTTTCATCCTTGGGTTTATTAAATACATTTGGATATTTCATTATTGTGTATTATTTATAAAAACAAGAGAGAGTGTATGTATAAGAACCATTATTCAAGTCGGTATAATTTACAATGTTTGAATTTGCTATATTTCTGACACCCAAATCTCTATGTCCAATATATAAAAGTCTTCAAGGAACACTATAAATTCTTTTGGTTTTTTAATATTAATATAACAGTCAGAATTTTTTCCAAATTTGGAATTACCAAATATTGCAATGGTCAACATCCTAAATAGTAAATTTGCACTACGTAAAAATTTGATTGGCTGAAATTCCGCCTTTTTCTCCTTTTCTTTT